CTTCCCAGGGTTCCGCTGTGAGTGCAGCCTTGTACTGGCTCTAGCATGGGGGAAGGTGCGCATGTTTTAGTGCATGGATCCCAGAACTCAGATCCTTAGATCGTGGACAGACTGAGCAGAGGTGCTTATGACGCACTGAGTGGGAGCCAGGAGTCCTGACGGCTCTGCTGCACACGCCATCACCCCGTCCTCTGAACCTCTTAGTCAGGTGTTGTGCTGTTTGGGATTCTACAGCTTCGTGCAACTGTGATTTTTCAAAATGGTTCTAAAAGTGAAATCAGCCAGTTGCAAAAACAAAAACAAAAACAAAAAACAACAAAAAAAAAAACACTAGAGAAACCTAGAAGTGGCCACGTTCCAGACAGACAGTGGAGTGGTGGCTCCAGGGGCTGGGGAAGCGGGGGGAATGCTTAATGGGCACACGGTTCACCTGGGATGACCAAGGGATGTCCGCGGATGGACGATGGTGACGCGAGCCCAACAGTGAAGGTGTTGGGCCACAGAACTGTACGCTTAAAAATGGTTGGGACGGTACACGTTAGCTTGTGTGTGCTTCATCACAATTTTAAAAAAACATTAAATGTTTTATGGGGTCAGCGTTGTAGCATAGTGGGTAAAACTCTGCCTGCAATGCCAGCATTCCATAAGGGCACCAGTTTGAGTCCTGGCTGCTCCACTTCCAATCCAGCTCCCTGCTAATGGCCTGGGAAAGCAGCAGGGGTTGGCTCAAGTGCTTGGGCCCCTGCACCTGTGTGGGAGACCTGGAAGAAGCTCCTGGCTTCAGATGGGCTCAGCTCTGGCCATTGCAGCCATTTGGGGAGTGAACCAGTGGATGGAAGACCCCCCCCCATAACTATGCCTTTCAAATAAATAAATCTTTTTTTTTTTTTTAATTAAAAGCTTCTGAGAAAAGCAAGAGCATAAGGAGCTGGAACAAGGCTGCTGAAGAGACTCCACTCTTCCCCAGGGCAAACGGCTCCAGAGGCTGCAGCGTACGGGGGCTGGAGGGGCTACAAGGTCAGAATCTCAAAACGCTCTACGTAGCAATCGCCCAGCAGCAATGGCATCTCATACCTCGGCTCTGAAATGACGCTTTTCTTGCAGCACAAGCAGGTCTCAAGGCCCAGAGCGGATGGAACGCCAGGCTGGCGGGGTCGTTCACAGAGGGCTTGGGGGCACCACGCGACCTGCACTAAGCTCCACCCAGGCGGGCTCCTGGGGGCACAGAACCAGGGTTGAGAGGAAAAGGATGGGGAAGGGGCGGGGCAGGGAAAGTAGGGGCCGAGGGGTGTGAGAGGCTCGCAAAGCAGCCCAGCACCTAAGAACCTCCAGCAGCCCAGGACGGCTGGGTCCAGGGCGGGAGGGGGCTGCCCTGGGGCAGGGAGGCAGGCCTGTGTCCTAGGAGCGCTGGGGAGCCCCGTGGGACCCGCACAACCCAGATAAACGAGGCTGCCGCTGCGTGTGATCTGAAGTCTGTGGTCATGCCCCAGCGGCACGCAGATCTGAATGATCCTCCCACAGGTGGGGAAACCCCGCCACCTGCTAAGACTCCTGCTCAGGTCTGTGCTCAGAGCCCTCTGCTGATCCAGCACTCACTCGTCAAACATAGCTGAGCCCTCGGTCTCAGTATGCTGTGGGCACTGGAGCCTGAGCACTTGGGCCCAAGTCCCAGCTCTGAAACCTATAAGCCAGGGGACCTCGAGCAAGTGACCTAACACTTTGGGCCTCTGTTCCCTCAACAGCGAAAGCAGAGTCGATAACAGTGCCCACGCGCGAGGGGCGTCGTGAGGGCCGCGCGAGAAGGCAGGCCACTTTGAGAATATTCGCGGAAAACGGAATCAAAAGATAAGTTTGCTGTGGGGCAAAAAAATTGAAATCCACACAGTTTCTTCAAAACATGCATTTTCTATGATCATTCTGAAGACCCCTCATATACACGTCGGGCTTTTCATTAACCTTTGGCACCAAAATAAACCAACCTTTTAATTCCGTTTTCCACGAACTATTAGAAGCCTCCATCTACGTGGAAGACGCTCAGAGCAACAGCTGACGCTGGGCGAGCAGTCCATCCCGTGAGCGTTTCTCACTCGTCCCCGCTTAAATCTGCAAATGTATGGGCACGCCCACACACACTCATATGTACACATGTGTGCTCACACATGTGCACACACATGTACACACACATGCACACACAGCCATTGGGAGGTAAAGACATTTGAGACAAGGTCTCTATCTTCAAAAAGCACAGGCTCTGCCTGGGAAACCACCCCTCTGTGGCATAAGAGCCAATCAAGTACGAGATGCAATCTGAACACACAGTTTTACATAATTAGGTTATATTAACCCGAGAAAAAGGCTGTTTCCAAGAAAGGCAAAGAAAGGACACACCAGGCCAGAGCTGGGCCTCCGACAGCAGGAGAGTAGGCAGTGCTACACAATTACTTTCTGATGCACTAGTTCAGGGAAGCCATGCTCACAGATCATCATCTTCATTGTAGCCCCTGGGCCGCCCCGGGGAGCAGCTGCCGCGGCTCACGTGCTGGGTGGGTGAGCACCACAGGTGACTGGACGGGAGAGGAAGTGTCACCACCAAGCCCCATTCCTAAGGCGCTCAACCCTTTAGGATGCCGAAATGCTCAACAGTGCCTAGCGTGAGGCAGTCCCAGCGCCCTTCAATCATTTCTCAACTAAGCACATTGTTCCAAGAAGGGTAAAATTCTTGTTATGTAACTTTCGGGGGCTAGATCTAAGTCAAATCCTTTTTACTGTTAAAAATGCTGGTTTCAGCTTCCTGCTCATGCAACATGGGAGGCAGCAGATGACAGACCAAGCGCCTGGGCTCCTGCCCCCGACTTGAGAGACCTGGCTGATGGTTCAGGCTCCCAGCCTCAGCTTGGACCATCCTGGCTGTTGTAGGCATTTGGGGAGTGAACCAGCACATGGAAGACCTCTCTCTCTCTCTCTCTCTCTCTCCCCCTCTCTCCCTCTCCCTCCCTCTCCCTCCCTCTCCCTCTCCCTCTTCCCCTCTCCCCCTCCCCCTCCCCCCTCCCCCTCTCTCTCCCTGTTGCTCTGCCTTTCAAGCAGATGAAAATAAATAAAAAACAAATATTGCAAAAAATGCTGGTTTGGGGGCTGGTCTGTGGTGCAGCATGTTGGGCTGCTGCCTGCAGGGCCAGCATCCCATATGGGTGCTGGTTGGAGTCCCGGCTGCTCCACTTCCAATCCAGCTCCCCGCTAATGCACCTGGGAAAGCAGTGGAAGATGGCCCAAGTCCTTGGGCCCCTGCATCCACTTGGGAAACTCAGATGAAGCTCCTGGCTCTTGGCTTCAGCCTGGCCCAGCGCCAGCCATGGTGGCCATTTGGGGAGTAAACCAGTGAATGCAAGACCTCTGTCTCTCCTTCTCACTCTGTAACTCTGCCTTTCAACTAAATAAATAATCTTAAAAAAATGCTGGTTTCCCCAAGCACTACTTCATTGTATCTATTACTTGGGCTCAAAATAATTTGTTTCAAGCCTGTTAAGCAACCAAATACTTTTTTGCAAATGTTTCTTTTTAAAAAAAGATATTTATTTATTTATTTGAAAGGCAGAGTTACAGAGAGGCAGAGGCAGAGAGAGAGAGGTCTTCCATCCGCTGGTTCACTTCCCAAATGTCTGCAATGGCCAGAGCTGGGTCCATCCAAAACCAGGAGCTAGGAGCTTCCTCCACGTCCCCTATGTGGGTGCAGGGACCCAAGGACATGGGCCACCTTCTACTGCTCTCCCAGGCCACAGCAGAGAACTGGATCAGGAGTGGAGCAACTGGGTCTCAAACTAGCACCCTTATGGGATGCTGGCACTGTAGGTGGCAGCTTTACCCACTATGCCACAGCACCAGCTCCTGCAAATATTTTTCCTCACTGATTCAAGTGAGCGGTGTCCAGCCAGAGGCATCTGTAACAAAGATACAGACCAGTTTCCACTTCCTGTCAGCCCAATCTCCCTCTCCTGCATCCATATGCTTCTGGATTGTTCCAAGAAGGCTTCCTCATCTGAAATGTCCTGTTGTCTGAATGCCCAAGTCTACTGGCTCTTTGGTGAGTGGGAGGGTTACAAGTCATAAGCACGCATCTGGGACAGGCGTGTAGACGCACAGGTAGATAAGCAGAGTACACGTGTGATACACACTGCGTAAATACATATTGTTTCAAGTTTAGAAGGAAGCGGCGTGCGCGTTCTTGCTCTGACACTATTTAGTGACACCCGTTGCACAAGAGGCATCGCACCAGGTGTGTATGCGAGGAGCTGCTAAAAGAGTAACAAGATGGCCCGGGGCAATCCAGGCGACGTTCACCCCAAAACCTGGCACGCGCGAGGTGTTGCTGAGAGCAAGAGGAGCAAAGATGGCCACCGGGAAACCCTGCCTGGAAGGGAATGGCATCCCAGCCCACTGTGGAGCCAGGGTCAGGGAGGTCAGCAGGGTGCCCCAGGCGCGGTCACTCCCTGAGGGGTCTTGGGTGCCAAGAAGGAGGAGGAGGGGCTGAAGGCTTTGAACCAGGAGGCTGCTGTGACCACTGTCTCCAGGAGCCACCTTCCACGTCTCATTTCTCCGCAGCTGAGGCCGTGGACTCAATTCCTATCCAGCTGCTGACAGCCCCTCGTTTGTCAGCTCCTGTCCGGACGTCTCCCTGCACCTGCTGCCTGCTCAGCACCTCAGCTCAAATGCCCACAGGTCCCGCACTCCCGACACGCCCAGAGCACGCCCATCACTTCCTCTCCCCGTCCTAACCCACGTCCAGGGGATGGTACCCCTGCACCCACCACAGGCATGAACCACCACTGCTCTGAAAATCTGACCAAATCCCTCCCTTGCCTCAATCTCCCCCCGCACCCTCCCCTCCTTATCATGGCCCCGTATCTCTCCCAGTCTCACACAGGTCACTCTTTTCTGTCCCACACACCCTCTTTCCATTCCCAAAATCTTCCTCCCGCCTCTAGGCTTCCTTGGAGCTGCCCAGGTGTGGAATGCCCTTCCTGGCCCTCACCTCGTGTGCCAGCATCCTGTAGACTGTAGATGCCACCTGCCCAGGAAATGGTGGACAAAGGGCACACGCTGCACCTGCAGTTCCTACCACTGTCCCTTATGCTGTCATCAAGTGACGGTGACAATGGTGACGCCTGGCTCCCTGGAGGCAAAGTGGGATTCCTGGAGACTAGCCCCCACTGATCTGCATGTGGCTGAGACCCCCGGAGCAGCGCGGCCACGAGCAATAGGGGACTCTCACTCCAGTGCTCACTCAGCGTGCAAAGGAAGGGACTGAAGGGGTCTGGGGCTGGAGGCGGAATAATCGGCTGGGGCTGATGTTCAAGCCAAACCTGACCCTGGACAGGCATGGCTGAGGGACAGACAACCCAACTGTGCCAATCAGACCGCTTCAATCGGATCACTGGGCCAGCAGAGATGTGAGGCGAGGAAAGGACAGCCTAACACGGTGGCCAGGAAATCTAAGGTTCCCAGCCAGGGGGGCTCGCTCTCAACCTATCACAGTCCTGCGCACACTGTAGGGGTCCCCTAGAAACCGGTCATTTGCCAAAAGGACTCCAAGGCCTCTTGCAAGACAGAAAAGCTCTGCTAAAGGACTTTTTCTGTACAGTAAACTGAAGAGGCGACGTTGTCGCTCCTACTGACACCCGGGGCAGTGCCAGCCCGGATCCACGTTAAAACAAATGTGCTGGGGCATAGCGGGTTAAACCGCTGTCTGCAACACCAGCACCCCATATGGGTACCGGTTCGTGTCCTGGATGCTCCACTTCCAATCCATCTCCTTGCTAATGTGCCTGGGAAATCAGCAGAAGGTGGCCCAAGTCCTTGAGTCCTGCACCCACATGGGAGACCCAGAAGAATCTGGCTCCTGACTTCGGATCTGCCCAGTCCCAACCATTTCAGCCATTTGGGGAGCAAACCAGCAGATGAAAGACCTCTCTCTCTCGCTCTCGCTCTCTCTCTCTCTGCCTCTGCCTCTGCCTCTCCCTCTCTGTAACCCTGCCTTTCAAATAAATAAATAAATGTTTTTAAAAAGAACTTACAGGAAGGCTTTCCTCTAAGTGTTTTCTGGGATATTTATAAAATGTGTTAACAACAAACAAAAACAAAAACAAGACAAACGTGCTGCTTTCTGCGGAAAACTCCAGTCTGAGTCAAACACGCAGCGGGAAGCACTGGCAGCCGGGATGGCGGCACGGTTGCATCAGCAACAATCACAGATCACTGACAGCTCCCAGCACACGCCCGTGCCTAACTTTTTATTACCAGTGTTTCTGCAGGCACCAAAAGCATTTTGCTAATATTAAAAATCCTCTATTAATAAGGGAGGATTTTAAAGACACATGATAACCATCTTTCCCAGGGAGAATTTTCCAGGTGCACAAGGACACTCAGGTTCAGCCCAGGAAGAGCTGTCCTCGCTGGTGGGAGCCGAGCTTTCAGGCACAGTTTCCAGCGTGGCCCACGGGGAAGGCTTCTCTGTCACAGACGAGCGGCCACACCAGAAGCAAACATGCTGTTTTCCTTTCCTTAGCCACCCTCCAGCCAAGTGGGACATCTGGTTTTAAGGGAATGTACAAAAAGGATTCCGCGACCTCAGAAATGAAGCAGCAGCAATGGACGCTTCAGTTTTTAAGCAGAGTTCTGTGAATCTTCCACCCAGATGCTTGGGTTTGTTTGTAACGTCATAAACGCTTGTGGTCCGGCTAGAAAATAAATGCCGGGTGGGCGGAGCAGCAAGCAGACCTGGTAGAGACTCTCCCCGGGCGAGCCTGGTGCTGACTGCACACTTTTCCGTGAGGGCATTCTCTTCTGATTCCACCGACAGAGCGGCTGTCAGGGCTCTGTCACCACGTGAGAATGCAGAGGGGGTTCACACTGCTGAGCTCAGATTCTCTTCACGAGGGTCGCTCCACCCACTCTTAAATCCAGCCATTTGCCAACTTGAAAATTCTACCATAGTTATAGTTCAGAGAAATCATCAGGATTACGGTGTCAATGGATGGATGTTTAAGATTATATTAGAGCCAGTGCTATGGCATAGTGGGTAAAGCCACCGCCTGTGGTGCTGACATCCCATATGGGTGCCAGTTTGAGATATGCTGCTCTGTTTCTCATCCAGCTCTCTGCTACGGCCTGGAAAAGCAGTAGGAGATGGCTCAAGTCCTTGGGCCCCTGCACCCACATGGGAGACCCGGAAGAAACTCCAGGTTCCTGGCTTCAGATCAGCCCAGCTCCCACCATAAAGGCCATTTGGGGAGTGAATCATTGAGTGGAAGATATGTCTCCCTGCCTCTGTCTCTCAAATAAATAAATACATCTTTAAAAAAAATATTACAGGACGGCACTGTGGCTCACACTAGGCTAATCCTCCGCCTGTGGCGCCGGCACCCCAGGTTCTAGTCCCAGTTGGGGTGACGGTTCTGTCCCAGTTGCTCCTCTTCCAGTCCAGCTCTCTGCTGTGGCCCAGGAGTGCAGTGGAGGATGGCCCAAGTGCTTGGGCCCTGCACCGGCATGGGAGACCAGGAGGAAGCACCTGGCTCCTGGCTTCAGATTAGCACAGTGCACCGGCCGTAGCGGTCATTTGGGGAGTGAACCAATTGAAGGAAGACCTTTCTCTCTCTCTCTCTCTCTCTCTCTCTCTCTCTCTGCCTAACTCTGCCTGTCCAAAAAAAAAAAAAAATTACTATGTAAACTATTCTTAACACCCAAAACAGAAGTGTTAAGAAATCACAACAACGGGGCTGGCATTGTGGGGCAGCAGGCTAAGCCTCCACTTGCAATGGATACACCACATATCGGAGGGTCAATTCAAGTCCCAGCTGCTCCACCTGCTATCCAGCTCTCTGCTGTGGCCTGGGAAAGCAGCAGAGGATGGCCCAAGTGCTTGGGCCCCTGCACCCACATGGGAGACCCAAACGGAGTTCCAGGCTCCTGGCCCTGCTGTGGTTATTTGAGGAGTGAACCAGCAGATGGAAGATCTTTCTATCACTCACCTTTCAAATCATTTTTTTAACTAAAGGCAATTAAAACAATTTTCTGTTTCAAAACTAGAGAAAATAATTTGCAGTAGCTCAAAAGATTAAGAGTGATTTCAAAATACCAACCAGTAAGTGGAGAGGACTTGGTCAGCGGTTGCACCTGCAGCCAGGCTGGGCAGAGGATGTGGGGGGACACACCCTGCCTGCACTTTGTTCTTTATGGGGAAGCTGACAAGTTCTCTCATGACACCTCCAGAGGCGAGGGAGAAGGGTTATCAGCCACATCTCAACCCTTCAAGGCAATGATCAGGTTCCACACTACCAGGCTGCCAAATGTCCTAGAGGAGTGCTGGGTCTACCTACGGCATTGTGATCTTCAGGGCGCTGCTGTTGGAGGAAACCACCCCTTAGAAATGCAAGGTGATTAGAAGAAAGGACTTAGCCACAGCACGAGTGAAACAGGCAAGAATTTCAGTAAGAGGCAATGACATGATGTGATATGCAAAGGAGCTAATACTTTAGGCTGCATTATTAGAAATACAGACTTGGCCGGCGCCGCGGCTCACTAGGCTAATCCTCCCCCTAGCGGCGCCGGCACACCGGGTTCTAGTCCCGGTCAGGGCGCCGGATTCTGTCCCGGTTGCCCCTCTTCCAGGCCAGCCCTCTGCTGTGGCCAGGGAGTGCAGTGGAGGATGGCCCAGGTGCTTGGGCCCTGCACCCCATGGGAGACCAGGAAAAGCACCTGGCTCCTGGCTCCTGCCATCGGATCAGCGCGGTGCGCCGGCCGCAGCGTGCCGGCCGCGGCGGCCATTGGAGGGTGAACCAACGGCAAAGGAAGACCTTTCTCTCTGTCTCTCTCTCTCACTGTCCACTCTGCCTGTCAAAAAAAAAAAAAAAAGAAAAGAAAAAGAAAAAAAGAAATACAGACTTTAGAATAAGGGAGGTGACACACCCTACTCTATTCTGCTGTTTAAAAACCATGCATAGAATGCCACATTCAGTTGTATCAAACATAAAGGGATACAGACAAAAGCAAAATCAGGATGACTAAGGGTATCAAATTGTATCTTTGTTTAATAGTAACAGTTGAAAGAAGACTTGAGAGAGAGCTACCACAGCCGACCTACCACATGGAAGAGAGAAGAAACCTGTTCTCTCCAGATGGGAGGCGCAAACGTGCAGCCGATTTTGACTGTGGACGGGAGCTAACAGCCTACACCGCCACAAGAAGCAGTGAGGTTCCCAGCCTCTTGGAACTGCTCCAGCACAGGTGGCAAAATGTTTCCCCTCTCCCACCCAGCTTTCAAGCCCTGGAGCGGTGAGGGCAGGAGAGCAGGGCCAGAGCGCCACAATTCACCTGCTTCATGCCGGGGCTCCTGGATAAGCTTTGCTTAAGCTCAGAGGCTTAGGGAAGCAAGTCACGAGATGAGGTTACGGTCAGGCCCCTGCAGATGCTGGGGCAAGTGCCCACGTGCTAGCAGTCACTCTGGGGAGCCGTGACCGACGAAAGCTCTTGACAGACTCACGGAAACAGCACTGCAACACTGCCTTCTTTGCCTCTATTCCTTCTCTCTCCATTCATTTCCTAAATGTCCTATTCTTTTATTAGCAAGAGTGTTAGAAAGAGCTTGATATTTACATTTCAAACAAATCTGCTCTCGTAGGTGTCTACCCGGAAGAAATCCATGCAAACATGTGAGAGCGAACGCTCAATCCTGACTGCCAAAGAGTGGAAGTAACCCAGATGCCCAGCAGCTGGCCAGTGGATGGACAAAGGGCGGTCAGTTCACACAGCAGAGTAGTATTTGCTCAGAAACAGCAATGGAACATCGAGGCCAGTGCTGTGGTGTAGCAGGTAAAGGCACCACCTGCAGCGCCAGCATCCCATATGAGTGCTGGTCTGAGTCCCAGCTGCTCCACTTCCGATCCAGCTCCCTGCTATGACCTGGGAAAGCAGTGGAAGATGGCCCAAGTCTTTGAGTTGCTGCACCTGCATGGGAGACCCAGAAGAAACTCCTGGCTTCTGGCTTCTGCAGCTCTGACCGTTGCAGCCTTTTGGGGAATGAACCAAATGGAAGACCTGTGTGTGTGTGTGTGTGTCTGCCTCGCTCTGTAACTCTGCCTTTCAAATAAATAAATAAATCTTAAGAAAAAAAGGAAAATCAATGGCACACAGAGAAGCTACAGCGTGGATGACTCCCACAGGTACACTACAGAAAGAAGCCAGGCACAGAACAGTGCACAATTCCATTGATACAGCGCACCCATAATCTAGAACGCAGATCTACAGGTGACAGGGCCAGGGCAGGCAGGTGGGCACTTGGGTTTCCGTTGGGGGTGAGGGCAGGAGAGCAGGGCCAGAGCGCCACACTTCACCTGCTTCATGCCGGGGCTCCCGGACAAGCTGAACACCTGTGGGTGCTCAGTGATGCCTGCACAGACTGGTCTCTGCACCCAGACCACTGAGTGGTACCCTTTAAAGCAGTCCACTTTCATGGCTTGTGAACCTCTCGATAAAGCTATTGTTAACACAAACACAGAGCTCCAGACTGGCATCCACAGCCTCTCTCGGTGTGCAGCTTTGTGCACTGACAAACCTCTGGGTGCCTCGGGCTCCTCCTGGGAATGGGAGGATGAGGACCGAGCTCTTGACCTCCAAGGCGAGCCCTGAAGAAAAGATGGGGCAAAGGGTGGCACCTCCCAAACCCCCAGCTGTCGCCTTTCACACTGCTGTAGCTTTCCTTTTCTTCTTAGATTTGAAAACAGCATTCATTCATTTATTTGAAAGGCAGAGTGACAGACAGGGGGAGACAGAGAGAGATCTTCCATCCACTGGTTCACCCCACAAATGGCCACAACAGCAAGGCCTAATCCTGGAGCCCAGAACTCCATCCAGTTCTCCTTCGAGGGTACAGGGGCCCGAGAACTTGGGCCACCTTCTGCTGCTTTCCCAGGCTGTTAGCAGAGAGCTGGATCAGAAGTGGAGCAGCAGAGACTCGAACCAGCACCCATATGGGATGCCAGTGTTGCAGGCAGCAGCTGAACCCACTATGCCACTAAGCTGGCCTGTAGTTTTTCTTACAGCACTAAAAGAAGTTGTTTTTTTTTTTTTAATTCACTTTATGGATTTTAAATACTTTGAAAACACATAAAGTGCAAATCTTTGACTTAAATGACAGCGAGCTCCTAAAAGAAAAGAACAAGCTTTGCAGGAGGTGAGACAGTGCCTACCATTATTCTCAGTACCTGTTATAAACTAAGCAGGAGAGAAAGCAAGAAAAAGTACGCATACATACAGGAGCAGGATTAAAATTTCATTCACTAGCACAAAGTTTTCTTTCTCCCTTCTCATGTATACATCATCTTCTTTCTCTCGCCAGAAGGAAGTTAGCCGTGTCAGTCGTGCAAATAAGTGTGGGTTGCATTTTCTGAGGCTAATAGAGTATAACCACGACTCTTTAATTCCTGTCACTATTAAAAGCATGGTGCGTACTCAACATATGAAAATGTATGAGTTCATATATTATGCTGTTGTCATCTTGCCATTGTAATGCAAATCTCTCATATAAAAAGAAGACCTTTTTTTCTTTGCTGCCAATGTAGCTAATGAAATATCCAAATGTTTAATTTAGTTCTTGGAGAAATGGTGTTTCTGTGATCCACTGCTTTAATTGAATCATCACAGTAATTAACTGAATTGTATTCATTTATATTTTCACTTAATGGAAGCCTCTGAAAATGAATAATTTCACATCAAAACATCTGTTGCCTAAGACATCATCGGCGAACATGCATTTCTGCGCAGAGGGCTCCCCTCGCTTTAAACCTGGGTTCATAAGAGAACCCAAGAAAGAATAAATACAGAGCTAAGAACTTTTCTAAGGAAAGCGATTCAGCGACTAGGACTTGACTGTGTTTTGAAGTGATCCCATTGTCTGACTGTCGCTAACGGGATTGTTCTGTAAACTGCTGCCTCCACAGGATACTGGGGTGAGAGCCCGGTTCCTTTCCTCTACTCATCACCCTGGCGAGGCACCACACAGGGTCTCTATGCTGGCCACACACAGGAGGAGGCAGGGAAGACCAAAACACTCAGGAATCCAGGTGGAGCTGGACTTCACGGCTAGACTGCTATCAAGAATAATAGGACCAGTCTCCCAAACAACCACTCAGATAAAAATATCCAGGCAAACTCACACCCTGAGTCCAGTGGTCAAAGATATGCCGACACAGAAGACATTACACCTGACGCCATTCGATACCACTGTCAGCCACACGCAGCGAGAATTCCCCCATAAGCATGAAGAAGTCTGTACCCACCCTTTAGGCCACATATGATTGATATCTGTCCGTCGATGAAGACTTGCCAAATACAACAGCGGAGGAAGCTGTTCACCCCTCAGGAGAGCGGAACTGACTCCCGAGGAAGGCACCCAGCGGTCAGCCCAGCCCCAGGCACATTCTGTCTTCTGCGGCTCAGAACACGCGGCTCCCGCCGCTGGAAACCAGAGCTACATTCAGGGTGAGTGAAAACTTCCTTTCATCCCACTCAAGAGGGCCTTGGTCAACGACCGAGGCCCACACTGGTTCTTAGGAAAATTATAAGGTGCAGAGACACTCACTGCGCCTTGCAAAGATGGCCAAGTGCTCCAGCGAGAAAAAATATCCCCGGAGAGGAGGACGACCAGCTACAGCCTTGGCGCGCCGCCTTTTGCAAACAGGTGTGAAGCGATTTCAGTTGCAGAAGAAATTGATCTCGTTGCCGAGGGAGCTAGAAACCAAAACTGCTCCCAACTAAAGCGAGTTCCACAAAATGTACATTCCCCCCCCTTTCGACCAAGTTTTGACCACGCAATAAACCCAACACGTGAAAAACGCACCGGGGAACTTCTGTGCACGCATGATCGCACACGGAGAGCTGAACACAGGCGGGGTGCGGCGCAACTGTTGTTCAGTCCTGATGGTGAGGCTAAAAATTAATAAATAATACGCTCCCCGGCAGGTAGGGTTTCACAGTTCGTAAAAGATGCCATATTGGTCGCGGGAGCGTCGCCTTCCCGTAAAAACTGCCGAAGTCACAGGAGGAAGCGATCTACGACCCGCACACAGAAGCTCACGCAAGCAGCTCCGCGGCGCGGGGGCCACCCGGCTTCGCCCGCGCAGGGCTCCCGGGGCGCGGCCGCTCGCGGCTCGGCGTGCGTGCTCCCGGGAGGGCTTGCTACGAAGCTCCCCGTCGCCCTGAGTTTGCGAGCAAAAGAGCAACACGTCCCCCGGAACGCGGGGCCGGCGCGGGCCTCCCGGGCTGCCCCGCCCCGGGGCGCTCGCGCGGGGCCAGCCCGTCCGCGCCCACCGGCCGGGAGCCCGAGACCCCGGAGCGCCCCTCCGCTCCTGCCCGCCCCGCCGGGGCCGGGAGGCGGCGCGGCCCCGCGGCCCCCAGCACAATGCGCCCGCGGCGGCGGCGGGAACCGCGCGCCCCTCCGGAGCCGCTCGGCGCGGCCTCGCCCGCCGCCGCCGCCGCCGCCGCCGCCGCCGCCGCCGGGCCTGGGCGCCTCTGCTCGGCCCCCGCGCGCCGCGGCGCTCACCGTTGCAGAACTGGAGCAGCGAGGACGTGTCGTACAGGCTGCTGTAGCTCGAGAACCCGTCCTCCATGCTGAGGCCGGCCGGCCGCGCCGCCGCTCACCCACACACTGCGCCCGAGCCCGAGCCGCGGCCGGCGCTGGCGCTGGGGCCGGCCCCGCTGTGGCGGCGGCTGCTGCCGGTTACCACGGCAACCCCGGGCCCGCCGCCGGCCCAGCGCCCGCTCTGCCCGCGAGGGGGCGGCCGCGGGGGCCGGGCCGGGGAGGGGGACGTGGCGGGGCGGGGACCGCGGGGACGGCGCGGGCCGGGCCTGGCCTCCGGGCGCCCGCGCAGCGCCGCGCGGCCTCGCCCCGGCCCCGGCTCGGACGCCTGGGATGCTGCGGGGCGCCGCCCCTGGGCCCGGCCCCGCCTTGTCGCGCGGCCAGCCGGCCCCGGGACTGCGGAAGGCCGCGGGCGGCCCTCGGGGACAGAGGGGCGAGGCCGGGGCCCCTCCCGCGCGCAGCCGCAGGACCCTGCGTGCGCGGTTCCCCACGCGCGTCGGACGCGGCCAGGCCCTGCCCCCACCCCGGGGGTGGGGGGTGAGGCAGCTCCAGTGCCCGCGGGAGTGCGGCGCGGGGCAGGCACCAAGCGCCCGGGGCAAGTGACCAGAGAGGAGGGGGCGCCCGTTCGCGAGCTTGCAGCGGCTCCGACATCCAAGGCAGACCCCAGACGGGGAGGAGGGGGCACGGAGAGGAATCTCACTGCTCGGCAGTCAGCGTCCAGCCCCGTGAGCCAAGTGGGACCCAGTGGGTGGGACAAGTAGGGGTTCAGACCCCAGCCGTGACAGCGGTGGGCGGGCCCTGTGGCTAGATCGGGGTTGATGAGACAGGTTGGTGCCTTGGGCAGACGGCAGAAGCTAAGACCCTGTACCTGTGCCTGTGGCCCAGGCCCAGCACAGCATCGAGAATGGGGAAAATGCTCTATGGGTGGAGGCTGGGGGACCCCAGGTGCTGTTAGTTTGACAGGGACAGAGCAGTGGGGAGGGAAAAGCCAGTGACAGCCCAGGAAGAAGCAGCAGGGGCAGCCGGCCACAGGGCCCGCCGGACGTGAGTGGAAGGCGCCTGTTGCGGAAGCCATGGAAGGGCCTGGGGAAGGAACCCTGGACCAGACCCTGCTGGAGATGGAGGCTCCCATGCAGCTTCCCACACAGGCAGGCGCATGCTGATGAGGGCAGGGTAGGGAGCTGAGCTGGGGCAGGGCCTGCTGCCCCAGCAGCCCCGGGGTCCACAGCGCAGGGGGAAGCGAGGCACAGAGGCCCCGACACTGACGGGGGGACTGCTCTAGGACTGTCCACCTGGAAAGACTGGAAGGTCCAGCCAGGGCAGCAAAGCCCCCCGAGGCCATGGGACTTGGGAGCTGGGACTTGGGAGGTGCAGATGTAATAGGGGGAAAGTGGAAGCCAGGCAGGAGCTGGGCGGGGCCTTAGCAAGGACGTTCCTGGGCAGTGTGATGGGCGGAGGATGGGTCTGTTAGCTGGGAGTACATTTCCCAGGGTAAGCAGCAGAACAGGCCCTTCTAGCTGGTGGCACAGGTACCCCCTCCCCGTGACCTGGGGCATCGTGGTGAGGGCTAGGGTGGACACCAGGTTGGTGGACACCAAGGGGAGGGCACGTGTGCAAACATTGTGTGAGCACTCTGGCAGGGAAATGAAACAGGGGCGGAAGATGGTTGGCAAAAGGGTCTCGGTCCTCGGCCGGCCCAGAGGGGTCCTCTGCCTCGCTAAGGTGCAGGACGGTGCCATGGAGGAAGGGAGATGTGGGCCACAGGGGCCCTTGCTCTTTGCCTGTCTCTGTTTTCCCATCTTCCCACCTGTCGGCTCTCTCTCCTCCACTCTGCAGTTTCATATTATAGGATATGTCAGAGAGTTGGCATAAAAAGCTGAGCTGTGGCTTTTTTGTTTGTTTGTTTGTTTATTTTTTGACAGGCAGAGTTGGACAGTGAGAGAGAGAGAGAGAGACAGAGAGAAAGGTCTTCCTTTTTCCGTTGGTTCACCCCCCCCCCAAGTGGCCGCTATGGCCACCGCGATCCAAAGCCAGGAGCCAAGTGCTTCCTCCTGGTCTCCCATGCGGGTGCTGGGCCCAAGGACCTGGGCCATCCTCCACTGCCCTCCCGGGCCACAGCAGAGAGCTGGACTGGAAGAGGAGCAACCGGGACAGAATCCAGTGCCCCAACCAGGACTAGAACCTGGGGTGCCACAAGCGGAGGATTAGCCTAGTGAGCTGCGGCACCGGCCGAGCTGTGGCATTTTTTTAACTTGAGAAAGAAATGATGACCGTGAATAAATGATGGGAAGATGATTCTCTTTAAGAGTTGTAGCCCCTGGTTGTAACGTTAAAGGTATCACATCTGCTGGCCACACTGTGCTTTAAGAGAATAAGGAAAATTCAGAATTGGAAAAGCAGTAATAGGTTTAGAAGGTCAGGTGCAAAGTGGAGCTGGAGATTTTCTTAGATTATTTCCTTTAGAGTGAAATAACAAAAACTCACGCCACTTGCTTTGAGACGACAAAGATCATTATTACATTCTTAACCCGGAATATTAAACACTTATGCTTTTCACACCATGCTAAAATCTTACTCTAAGACAAGCAAAATTTAGAATAATTACAAGGATGTATGTGTTCAGCCAATTAGGTATAACCTGCACAACATTAAAAAAAAAAGACTAGGGGAAAAAATTCAAGAAGTATCCCTGAAAACTTAATTAATAGTGTGTGATTTTGAGCCCAAACATTTTAACCTGCTGTTACTCCACGTCGTTTTGAGATAATTTATGGTCCAAGCCCCAGAACGGCTGTGGTCGTAGTGAATGACGCACCCTCTCCAGGACAATGTGCCACAGCGTGCAGCGGCATTCAGGGCAGCGTCTGTCCAGCGTGAGAAAGAGGGAAGGCCAATGGGAGCGCTGTGGCCTTTCTTCGCGGAGAAGCAATAAAACAAAGTCACCCAGAAGCTGAGGCCTGGTGCATCTATTGTTTCGGTCACCATTCCCTCAAAAACGGTCACACAGTGCTCAGGCACTTGTGAGGGGCTGGGGACACAGCACTTAGAATCAGTCAGCGTGCTCCCAGCTGCAGGGGATCCTGAAGGCCGTCGAAGGATCACAGTCGGCGCTTTAAAAAATGATAGCGGAAATTCTGCTCCTTGGCGGGCAAAGTAATGGGAAGCTAGGACGTGGACAGGTATTTGTACCCCACGTTCATAGCAGCAGTGTCTGCGAGAGCCGACACAGGGCCATGACCTGAAAACCCACTAGTGGATGAACGCATCAACACAGCGTGGACTGTGTGCAACATCATTCCCTGATAGACAGGAAGGGGCGGGGCTGGCGCCGCCACCTGCGTGGCCTGCATCCCAGATCAGAGTCCTGGCTGCAGTCATTGGTGTCCTGGCTGCTCCACTTCCCATCCAGCTCCCCACGGGTGCGCCTGGGAAAGCAGCAGAAGATGGCCCAAGTGCTTGGGCCCCTGCACCCATGTGGGAGACCCGGATGGCGTTCCAGGCTCCTGACTTTGGCCTGGTCCAGCCCCAGCTGTTACAGCCACTTGGGGAGTGAACCAGCAGATAGAAGACCTTTTTCTATCTCCCTCTCTCTTTTTCTCTTGTGTATGTCTCCCTCTGTCTATCACCCTGCCTTTCAAATACAAATCTAAAAAAAATGGGGGGGGGTATTTTGATAGATGCCTCATTGTGGATGAACCTTGATGACCTTATGCTTAGGGAAGCAAGTCAGTCCCGTAAGGACAAGTACCCTATGATCCTACTTCCTTGAGGTCCCTAGAGTCATCACATTCACAGGGCCTGGTGATGGGGGAGGGGAGGCTGTTGAAGGGTCCGGCGCGTCAGTATGGGGCGACAGGAATGTCCCATGGGGCGCAGACGGATGCACAGTGATGGGAGGCACCCATGTGACTGAACTGTGCACGTAGAAGTGGCAAAAGTGGCAGGCTTGACGTTGTGTCTGTCTCAGCACCGCTTCCCAGAGAAGTGGTAAGCAGGCATCAGAGTGCTCTGTGCACAGGAGGAACGTGCGCTTGGGCTGGCCACCTTGCTCCTCCCTCAGAACGTACTCTAGGTCCTGTGGGGAGTTTGGGTGCAGAACGTTTTTGTCCCTGCAGGTGACAGCCACGGTCCAAGGACATGCGGTCACCGCACAGATGAACACACGGCCGCAGAGGGAGCTGCTCTGCCACGCCGTGGCACAGAGGATTTCAGATTATTTTGGAGGAAGAGAAGGAACCAGAGTGGCAGGGGGCCCTGAGCCGGGGAGGCCACTTCAGGCAAATGAGCTCATCGGAGGAGCGCCGGCAACTGCCATGGCAGGAGACGGGCAGCCCGTTCACCGGGGGTGGGGTGGGGGGTGGGGTGTCCTGTCGGGAGGTTCTGATGTTCTTCTAAGAGCAAGGAAAAGTGGCCTCCGGCTAGCGTCAAGGGGCTGGGTTGTGTCCCCTCCCAGGCCATGGACTGAATTCCAATCCCCAGGACCTCAGAATATGACCTTCCGCGGGGATGGGGCCGTAACAGATGGGTAATCAAACTGAAGTTGTTGGAGAGGACCCGGATCCCACAGGACTGGTGTCCTGCCAGGGAGGGGGCGTTTGGGCACACACACATAAAGGAGGGGTGGAGTGGACACAGGGACAGCCGAGGGAGGGGCCTAGAGTGGATCCTGCCCTGCAGCCCTCACTGGGAACCAACCGTGCCCACCCCAGCATCTTGGACCTCTGGCTCCAGAACTGAGAGACTCTGCTGCTGATGCCTCTCAGCACGTGGTCTCCCAAAGCCAGTCGCCTGTCCTCACCCACGGTCTGACCTTCCACCATGTGCTACCTGTAGCCAGCCCTAGTCTGAAATACTAAATGGAAAATTCCAGAAAGAAATGATTCATAAGTTTTAAATTGCACGCCCCGTTCTTAGTAGCTGATGGACTCCCGCCCAGGAGGTGACTCCTCCCTCTGTCCAGCATCCCCTCTGTGCCTGCCCCCTACCCACTCGCTCACCAGTAGCCTTGTGGGTTATCAGCCTGACTCACAGCGCTGTGGCCAAGCAACCCTTCTTTTGCTTAATATGGTCCAAACTGTGAAGCTATGATGCTGTCTCTTTGGATTTGCCAAAGAGAAGCCACCAACTGCTTCCTGTGCAAGGGAAAATTAAAATTCTTGACTTAATGAGGGAAGAAAAAATCCTGTGATGAGGTTACTAAGTCCTATGGTAAGTTATTTTTGTTGCTGTCTTACTGTGCTTGATTTAGGATGAACTTTGTGATAGGTACAAGTGTGTAGGAGAAAACACAGTGGATGCAGGGTTCAGCAGTACCCAGGATTTCAGGCACCCACTGGGGGTCTCCAGGCCCACACAGGTTGGGGTGCTACTGTACCCTGTACCTCATGTGGTTAGTGTGGAATTAGCTGTTCCACAGACTCAGTACAACACTCATCGCTGATACTAAAACACCAAACGCAGCACCTCACGCTAAATTGTTGCTCTATAAAACAAGATTTCCTCACGGAGTCCCAGGGACCTGTCTGCCCACACAGCTGTCTCCCCACGGCACCCCTGACAAGTGGTCGCTCCCCCCAGTCACAGCTGACGAACACCAGTTATTACCCAGATTGCTGTGTGTTTTATCCTGGTCGCCCTCGCAGAGGTCTCCTTCATCGGTCCTGCTTGTGTCTGGTCCATGTCGCCTCCCTCGTCCCGGTTCAGACTTCAACCGCTGTGAACTGTGCAGTAAGAGCCAGCGTTTTGCCTTCCCCAGCTCGTCTTTGCTGCCCCAGGGTTCACTGACGTCACTTCACTCCGTGTTGCCTGCCATTCAGGGTAAGCGTCTTGGCGTGGGCCTGGAGGCCTCTGTGTGCCTGCCACAGATGCCGTCCTTGGCATCCAGCACACCCCTGCCACACCACACTATTCGCAGACCCCCGCTTGTGGCTCAGACACACCGTACACGTGGGCACCTTGGTCTCCGGCCAGGGCTGCTCCCCAGTCCCAGCACAGAGGCTGCTGCATCGGCAAGGCCTCCTGCGGCCCCTGCAGGTGCTCTGCACCCCTCCCGTGTCTCACGTCCCCATGCCTTGCCTTGTATGCGTGTCCAGCCCTCCCTGGAGACTCTGTGTCTCTAAGCGCAATCACACTGGGCACAAGGTTGCTCGTGGTTGGCAGGGGTGATGATGAATGGGTAACGGGGGGAACCCTCTGCATGAAATCGGCTGCCATTCACACACACTTGGAAGGGAGCCCTCGTCTCCCATGGGTGACTTCTGCAGTTCCTCCCCATCATGTGTCAGTTTCTGGACCCTGGTCTGCAGAGATGCCCATCCCACCCAACCAGATCCTCTTCTAAACCCCGGTACCCAGAACACCATCAGTGGCCAGCGCTGTGGCTCACTTGGCTAATCCTCCGCCTGTGGCGCTGGCAACCCTGGTTCTAGTCCCAGTTGGGGTGCTGGGTACTAGTCCCGGTTGCTCCTCTTCCAGTCCAGCTCTCTGCTGTGGCCCGGGAGTGCAGTGGAGGATGGCCCAAGTGCTTGGGCCCTGCACCCGCATGGGAGACCAGGAGAAGTACCCGGCTCCTGGCTTCAGATCGGTGTAGCGCTGGCCATGGCAGCCATTAGGGGAGTGAACCAACAGAAGGAAGACCTTTCTCTCTGTCTCTTTGTCTCTCACTAACTCTGCCTGGCAAAAAAAAAAAAAAAAAAAAAAAAAAAAAAAACACCATCAGTAACATCACAGGGCTCTGGGCTGGACTTCCTGTTCACAGCTGGGGCACTGGGGCCAGAGTTGTGGAACAGCAGGTTAAGCCGCCACTCGGAACACCAGCATCCCTGCTTTGAGAGCCCGCTGCTCCATTTCCAATCCAGCTTCCTGCCAATGTGCCTGGGAGGCAGCAAAGACGGCTCACAAGTGCTTGGGTCCCTGCCACCGTGCAGGAGCCCAGATGGAACTCCTGGCTTCTGTCTTTGGCCTGGCCCAGCCCTAGCTGTGGTGGGCATTTGGGGAGTGAACTGGCAGATGGAAGATTTCTCTCTTAGTGCGTCTCTCCCTCTTATGTCACTCTGCTTTTCAAATAAATAAATAAACCTTTTAAAAAAAAAATACTGGGACATTACGATTCTGTTGATGCAACTGAAGTTTCCATTGATTTGTTTTTCTGAGCCACCAGGATGTATGCTGTTGGCTCCTATTGAACTTCCGGTCAATTATAAACCCATCAGTCTTTTCAAATGAACCGCTGTTAGGTCTTCTCCATCCTGTACTGAGCTAATTGATTTTTTTTTTAATCTGAAGACAAGATTTATCTTTGCCCCAGTTAAATGTCATTGTTTTGGTTTCCTTCCATCATTTAGCCAACCCAAACCTTTCCAACTCTTAAATCTGTCGCCTAACAGGTCAGCACTGTGACATCAGGGAACGCGTCATTCTGATAAAGGCATCAGCCGGCGGGAGGGGGCGGTGTCCTGGGGGCGTCTCTGTTGGCCAGGACTGGGCTTGCTGGTCCCGTGAAAACGTCCGCTCAGTGGCCGGTGTCCCTCCGTAGCATCTGCGGGAGTCTGTGCAGGATCTGCCCGGCTGCTTCGGTAGGTCGGAGAGAGGGAAGGGGCTGGTTTGGTGGCTACGCAGCACCTTTCCCGCCAAGCATCTCCACGCTGGCTCAGCAGAGGCCTGTGAACACCCTTGCCCACAGCCAGCAGTCACAGCCAAGCGGTCGTTGCGTTTTCCGCTGTCCAGCTTCTTCCGCTTCTTGGAAAACGATGACCTTTTCTCCCTCCCTGCTTTTCTTGCAACTCCCATCTGGCAAAACGGAAGACAGTTTGTGGAGGCCCAGAGAACATATGCCCAGTGGCTGACCCGTCCTTGCCATGTCTGGCCTCCCAGGTTCTGGACAGTTCCTCCTTGGGATGTATTTCTTCTGTGTCTTCCAGCCTGAAGATTAACGTTCTCATTGGAAACAAACAAACAAAAAAAGCGCACAGAGGGCGTCTTAAACACGCAGACCGGCTTTTGGGGTCCTGCACAGCTCCCCTCCTCCGCCCTCCCAGCCCACGCGGCTTTCATCCACTCAACACCCCACAGCTGTCTGCACCTGGAGCGTTGCTTGTGCGGCTCCTGCTACTGGAATTCCCTGGCTGCGCCCCCAGCTGGGAGCCTCCCGTGTGGAGACAGATCCACAGCTCAACTTAGAAAGCCGAGCTGATCCTGAAGGCCCGGGGTGTGGGAGGGGCGCTGGCTGGAGTTGGGAAAGAGCCTGCTTCCTCACAGGCGGCTCCAGCGTCACTCCTACCGCAGAGCGTCCGCACGGCAGTCATGAACTCCAGCCTTTTTGCAGACAATCTGTTAATACTTCAAGTGAGTACGGCGGGTCTTCAGGATCTCAGAAGCCCGCGACGGCCCCAGGAGGCGATCCACTCCGACGCCTTCTTAGCGACTTGATCTGCCCAAAGAATTTCCGTATTTTGAAGTTACCTGAAGTGGTGTGGAAAATTGGACGTGGTATTTGGTTGGTTTTCCATTTTGAAAAGGCCACTGCCTCTAAGTTGTGCAACAACACGGGTTGCACAGTTGGGTGTCGGGAGCCTTCCGCTGTGGCCGCTGCACCTGCGGATGTCACTTCTCGGGACTTTCGTCCGTCTGCTCTGCTGTGGGGCGCCGGCAGTTCCGGGTGTGCCCCAGACTAACGACAGCGTAAACACACAAATGTTAGAGCGCCCACTCCTCCCAGTGTGCCCGGCAGCCAGGCCCAGGCCATGTCCCGGATGATCACCTGCTGCCTGACTCTACCAAGTGTTCCGGTCTGGGTGATAAACGGCGCAGTCGGCAGGATTGAGAGCCGCACAGGTGCATCAGAAACGACGTCGCCAGCCTCACAGCATCAATGTGGCAAGAAATAAAGTTGCATTTTTGTCATCAAAGGCCCACTTCCAGGGCCTGCCAGGCACCTCCCGACACCCCCTCACGGGCTTTTTCAGCCTGGTGGTGAAGACCTTCCAGGACGCCCTGCCCCCAACACCAACATCCACCATGCTCCAGTCCCTCATACGGAACAGCACAACATCTGCACGTATCTGTACACTTTAAATCACCTCCCACGCGTCACAACACCTAACGCAAGGGAAGGTCACGTAAGTTGTGGTTCTCCTGTACTTTTAACACGTACTCCTGTACGTGTTCAGCGCAGATGTGGCTTTTTTTCCTGCGTGTCTTTATTGTGATGCCTTGACTACGCAGGTGTGGAGGCCCCAGAAATGGAGGGACAGCTGTGTTTATCTGACTAACAACGCACCCAGGACTCCCTGCTCAAGGTGCCTAGGAACCCCGGGCTGCAGCTCCCCCACGGCCTCGGGCGAAGGCTTCTGGTTAGAGATCGTCCCGGGAACTTGCTCCCCCTCCCGCACGGCGGGCTTGTTCCCCGTGCTCTGCCATGGACCACACTGGCTGCTGACCTTGGCGGGCTCTGAACGGCACCATGTGCCGGGACCATGTACCATCCTGCCCCTGAGGACCTCACAGCCCAGAGGGGAACGCGTGCCTACCAGGAGCTGAGAGCAGGCGCCCGCAGGGCAGGGGGCTCAGCTGGACTGGGCATCCACGGAAACTCCCTTGGCCTGAGGTCACGGGGCCGGAACCCAGGCCCACAGGCCCAAGCCCCTGCTTCTCTGGCCTGCACTGCACCTCTTCAAAACTGAAGACAGGTAAGAGAAGAGAGCCCCGGACGGGGGAGGGGGCATGGAAGACTGCACCCCAGCACAGACACTGAAACCCTAGGTGAGGGCAGGAAGGAACCTCAGTAGCTAAGACAGAGGGGAGCCGGGGGCGCCTGTGGGTGCAGACCTGCGTGCGGCTGCCACTTCCCCACCATGCAGAGTCAGAAAGAATCTACTGAGCAGATCTAAGGCAAAGAGGAGGACTGAACCCCTGGCAGCTGGGATGAGGCAAAAGGGTGAGGGGGTGTGAAGCACCACTCCAGATGAGACGGGTGGAGAGGGGGAGGGGAGGCCATCCAGGAGCCCCTCCCCGCCGGCTCCCACAGAGTCGCAGGTAGGACCAAGAGGTCAGACTGCAGGTGTCAAGGCCCACAGCAAAGAGCCTGGGACCCCACACAGGGGCCCCTGGAAGGCTCACAGACTGGGCTGTGCTCAGGGACGGGGGACAGCGTGGGCTCGAAGACATCGGGGAGCAGTTCCAGGTGAGGGAGGAGAGGCCGCCTTGGCTGGTGGCCGCCCTCCCAGGACTGCCAGGCAGGAAGTTGGCCAGCCAACCGGGGTACTGGGGCGGGGGACCAGGAGGAAGCCACGGGGAGTTCCTGGAGCGGGGTGGGAGGGGTGGGCAGCGTGGAGGCAGGAGAGAGAGCAGTTTGGGACTGGGTACGACCTTGGCCGTGAGGGTGCCTGTGGGGACACAAGGCTCAACAGAGGGGCAAGGATGGGGCCTTAGGGCCGCAGGTGCCTGGGAGAGGAGGAAGGGTCAGAGGCAAGGACTCAAGGGGAGGGGAGCTGGATCCGGCCCTGCATGTGGGGCCAGGGCACGGCTGGCCTTGGAGAGAGGGTGAGGTTGCATGGGCTTGGGGAGGAGAGTGGAGGTGAGAAGCCATGGAACGTGAGGCTTCAACAAGTGTCCACTGGCGACCTGACCGCCGTCCTGAGCCCTGAGTGCGTGTGCTCCCCTATTCTGCTGAAAGCATGCCCACCACGGGACGAGGTACGGACAGGAGCTGGCCCCGGAAAAACCCTGTACCCTGGGAAGCAGGCCCCAGACAGGCCAACCCCGAGGCCCAAGGTTGAGGTAGCCAAGAAGCAACCCATATCTCACCCCAGGACCCCCAACGCTTTAGGGACAGACTGGACCAGGCACTTGTGCAGGTAGGGCACAGGAATTCTACCTAAGAAGTCGCTACCCACTGACCTGTATCCCCCATTCACAGACTCACATGTGGGAGCAGCACCCCTGCTGGCCATATTGGAAATGAGGTCTTTAGGAGGTAATCTAGGTTAAATGAGTCATGAAGGTGGGGTCCTCATCTGAGTAAAACTAGAATGCTCTAGAACTTCTAAACAGCAATGGAAGGAGCTAGAAGACAATAGAAAAACGCACAATGAATCTGTGAGGGAAAATGATCGTTAACACTTAGCGCTCCAGACACACCATCAGATGAAGTGTGCAAGTAGAATGAAGACATTTTTCAGTTACCCAAGCTCTCAATAACCTAGCCCCTGGGGGCAGGGGGTATCCTTTCTCTGGAAGCTGTTGTAGGATGCACTCCAACAAAATGAGGGAGTTGCTAGGAAAGAGGACAACATGAGCTCTAGGAGACAAGGATTCCCTGGGGAAACCATGAGCTCACAGAGAGGCCCCAGGGAAAGCCACCAGGAAGACGGCATGAGAGACGCCTGAAGGGAGATTTACCCCTAAGGCAAAGTATCTGAGGAGGACCGCGGTATGCACACATGGGAAACAGACGAGTTATCTGCACAAGAAAGGAAACTCCATCCTCATAATATAAACACATGATTGAGGGGCAGAGTGTAGCCGGTGCGGGTGTGGAGTGAGGGAGGGGGGGCCGTTACCAGATAGCACACCTCTGGGCCTGGACGACCAGGCAGAGCAGGTGCAATGTAGTTTTGGAATATTTGCATACACGTGGGGAGATACCTTGCAGATGGAACCTTGTTCTGAACATGGCCTTCCTTTAGATTCCACACTCCTCAGACACGTAACCGGGAGGTGACCGTAGGAGCAGCCTTAGCGCACCTGTGCGGTGACTGCGACCAGCACGTGAGGTCAGCTGCGAATTTTCCGCTGATGGCGTCATGTCGCTGCTCAAGACGCTTCGGACTTGGGCATATTTTGGAGTGGGGATGCTCCACCTGCAGCCGTAGCTGCATGTTATTTTAAGAAAGGGCAATGCTTAGCTGAAGGTGATAGCAGTCACATCTGGAGGTGGGAAGAACACGGCGAAAAGCTGGACAGCCCAGATGGTCACTGGCATTGTTTGCATCAAGCCTCGGGAGCTATTTGATTTTTTAAATGTGATTTTGGTATATTTCAATAAAGCTTAAAATCACAAGTACGCATTAACTTCTTGAGCCCCCCTTTGTTCTCTGCGTCTCTCATTCATTCATTTTTTTTTTTTTTTTTTTTGGACAGGCAGAGTGGACAGTGAGAGAGAGAGACAGAGAGAAAGGTCTTCCTTTGCCGTTGGTTCACTCTCCAATGGCCGCCGCGGCCGGCGCCGGCCTCATTCATTCATTAAATCGAGAGACCTGCTGTGAGCCGTCTTCTGAGGTTGGCTCTGGGCAGGCACGGTGAAGATGGAACCTCCATTCCTGCCCCCAGAAGACTTTTCCTTTTCATTAGGAAAACTTCAAAGAGGTGGCAGAGCTGGGCGCCTTCTTACTTGGCTCTGCGTGGAAGCAGGGGATCTGAGGAACTTGAGGTCTGGGGACAACAGACGGCCGATGTTTAGGATTTAAATAAATCCGGGGTTAAATCTTGCAGAAAAAAAATGCCCACCAACATATGGTGGTCTGTACACAGGGGCCACCCTGTGGAGAAATGAGTGTGGCAGGTGCATTAAGAACAAATGTGGGGCTTGGTGCTGTGGCACAGCAGGTTAAAGCCCTGACCTGCAGTGTCGGCATCCCATATGGGCACTGGTTCAAGTCCTGGCTGCTCCACTACTGATCCAGCTCTCTGCTACTCAGCAGTAGAGGATGGCCCAAGTGCTTGGGTCCCTGCACCAGCATGGGAGACCCAGAAGAAGCTCCTGGCTCCTGGTTTCAGATCAGCTCAGCTATGGCTGTTGTAGTCATTTGGGGAGTGAACCAGCATATGGAAGGCCTTTCTCTCTCTTTAACTCTTTCAAATAAATAAAATAGATCTTTAAAAGAAGAAGAACAACAACAACAACAACAAATGTGGGGGCCAGCACTGTGGCATAGTAGGTTAAGCTTCTGCCTGCAGTGCCAGCATCCC